CTAAAAGTAATATCCAGAATCTAGTGTCACTCTTCAAACAAAGCAGACATAAATGCTTGTTAGAAAAAGTTCGTAAACAGGAATTTTTGTAAAATGTGAAAAAATTCAGCAGTAAAGTGAATCATTATTTTCTCATTTTTATACATATAATAATAATACATATAAATCGACTATTTTTTTTCTCTTTCAAAAATGTTGCAGAGAATTATAGAGAAAAATATTCCGAGAAATTTTTAAACAATATCATTTATCATTTTTTGACTTTCAAGCAAAATCATTTTAATAAATCATTTAAAATCATATCAATCTTCAATAAAAATATCATTATCTCGTTCCGCGTCGAAACACCCGTCGAGTTACATTTAGAAATCATTGAGTAGTGTAAAATGAATCATAAAGTATCACAACGAGTTTTGTCAATGTTTTTTGCAGTTGATTTCTCCTTCTCTCTTTCCGTACATAGCAATCTGAAAAGTATACGTATTCCTTTCTCTCGAAACGAGATATCATGAAAGACTTTCATCTTCTTGAAACAACTTGCTCGCTATGTACTCACCTAGAATACTTGAGCGAGAACATTGCGGCCATCTCTCGCCAGTATGAGATTTCTGGAAAATGATCAAGTCTTGCGGAGAGACCGCACAAAGGGCGTATCTCACCGCAGAGGAAAAAACGAGGGAAACGAGAAGATCTCCTTCACAGAATAGACTAAAGATACTCTTTCGGCGCATATATATACGCGATGAGATATTTATGAACGGATGCGTCGGAGTTGCGCGAGAAGGAAACGTGTTTTCGAATCGGCTCAAGGAGAGAAAAAGAGAAGCAGGGTGTCCAGCAGACTCAATGAAAAATATTCCTTGATTTTTTTAGATTTTCCAAGACCAGAAATTAATTTTTTCCCTGATTTTTTAGCATTATTTTTTCAAATATATAATTTGCATATATCTATATGATAAATCAATTAAATGTTAAATCATGAAATTCTTGAGATAGTTTTGTCAACAGTGAAAAGGTTCGGAAATTAAAAAAAAAAAAATTTAAATCAATTGAACAATCTGCATTATGTACGATAATCGAAACAAACATGTTACTATGAACTATTTAAATAATCACCTTTTTGATTTATATTATATCAAATCTTTTAGTTTCGTCTCTATCAAACGCATTGAAATAAAAATAACACGACGATGAAAATAAATTAACGAATCGATTTTTAACAACACAGAAAATTAGCGTGCTGGGAGTCAAGGAAAAGTTTATATTTATTTAATAAAAAAATTGCAAATTATTGAGACAAATGTAGAATAATGTGAAAAAATCCAGATAAAAATGGTAAAATTTCCTGACTTTTCCCTGACAGTTCCAGATTTATAAAATTCCCTGACATTGCCCGGTTTTCCAGATTTCCTTTCCCGCTAGACACCCTGTAAATGGATGGAACTGACACAAAACGCATTACGTGTACGCTCCGACCTCTGACTTCTTTTCTTTTTGTCTCGGGATTTTGCGCGATGAGAAACGACGACTCTCGCAGCGTGAAATCAGTCCTTCTCGAAACATCCTTTTATAAACTTGACGCTGCGTTAACGCTAGAACATCTCCGGATGCATCTTTATCCGCTCACTATGATCGACAAAGTAGATTACGTCTTCTGTGTTCGAGTCATATCACTGAATGATAAAATCCAGATTAAAAGAGAAGAAAAATATTGAAAGAAGATTCGAAAAGAGAGTTCTTCGCATAAAACCGAAATTGCGTTAAATAATGTGATGTAATTTCGAAAATTGTAATTTTAAAAACGAATAAATGTAATCTGGAAAAAAAATTAATAAAACCTTGTAATAAGAAAAAACATTTTAAAAATTATACAAAAAGAAAAACGCGCAAAGATCGATACTTTAATTGATCAATAATTTAATTTTTTTATACAATTATTTTCGTAATCACGTCTTATCGAGTGTTTTTTGCGAAATGCGAATGTCATTAGCAAACTGTACGGTTTCTGTGTTCGAGTGTTTGTATTCAATTAACTGAATTCTAATGCATGCTCTATCGTTGATTTATACGATATTTCGTTTTTTACTATAAGCGAGCTCTGTTTACGACGCAAAAAACCGATCGAATCTAAGAAAATAATCGGGCACTAGTCTGCCCCGCCCTATCCATTTTCTGTTGTTCATATTTTATCGCGATAAGCGACACGTCATGGAATGAGAAATCCTCGCGAAACAAGCTACGAATTATCCTATTGTTTCCGCGTTACCGGAATGATATTTCCTTACGTTTTTTCGCACCGCGGTGAAGCTCAAAAACTGCAATTGAGCTATGTTGAATCACGCTGAGTGAGAAATGTTTCGCGAGGGTATGCAAAAGCAACCTTCGAATCTAATAAGATCTTATTGCGTGCTACGCCGCGAAAGAAATTGCGACTGAGCAATCAGTCAAGTTCCGAGCTTTGTGACTCGAATAAATCGTCGAGTGGAAACGAGTAGAAAAACGTGTATCAGCGTAAAGCTCAAGTATAAGAACGCACGAATGTACGTGAGGAGATTTATGAAAGTAAGAGCCAATCGAACTATATTTTTCTTTCAATTGTTCGTGAAGTTGATATGCATATTTATTTTACTAAAATCTAGCGCTTATATATATTTTCCAAATAAAACATATTTAATATTTATATGTTAATATATGTATATTTTACTTGGAAAAAATATACTGCAATTGTCTTAATAAATATATAAATTTTTAATGATAAAATAAAAATTTTATGTGCGATAAAAAAGTATGTTAAAATATTCTATTTAACTGTGCTAGTTTATATGGGGAACGTCAGGTTGCTTCGTGTTTAGCGAGAGATATTATGTACGTGAACAGACTAGCTACTTTACAATTTTTACTACCGAGTCAAGTTTCCTAGCCGCAGCTACAACTGTCAACATGCGATCGTTGCAGCAACAATTCTCTCAGGAATTCGTGTATCCCATCAAAATGTAGCCGGCGCAAGCTCTAAATTCTCGCGATTCTGAATTTTTCATAAACCGCGTTGCTATTCCGAGTCTTGAAAAACTTTAGCTTGCACTCGCAACATCCATTTCCTATCGGAAATAACCGACTTCGTGCGCGTTCAATATTTAAACCGATCGAAAATTGTTCGTTTCTCCGTTTCTCAAACCGATAATCTAACATCCTGATGTTTCGTACTGAATTTTATTCCACGCGGAGCCGATAACTTTCTCGATAACCTTCGAAATCCCTATTATGCCCTTCTCGCGCGATGCCGAAAGTCTGAAAGGTAAAAGACTTTGATCCCTTCCTCGAAGATTTACTACTCACGCGATTTCTCGAAGCAATCTCGCGATCTCTCTAACGCGGAAACTTGTAGGATTCGAAACCGACCTACGCAATAATCTGATAGAGTTGTATTAGCCTGAATTCCGACAATCCAGTTAGCTACCCTACTCTTCGCCTGATCCAGCCTCGTCCTAAATTCAAAGCAATTGACACGACCTGGCACACTCGCGATATAATAAGGCAACACGAATTCATAAATTTTCTAAGACGATATCCGAAGATGTCAGGATATATTTCATAAACCCATTTTATCACGATCTGTCAAATTAATTGTCACCGATAGTAAACACGTGATCTATATATATAATTGATATGTCACGTTTGCTTCCCGCAAAAGATTTAAATATCCGAATGATATCGTCGACAAAGTTAGGACAAATAATCAAGAACGGTGTTTAAATAACGAGGACAACAAGTCGGCCAATTACCAACGACAGACATTTTAACGCCAACTATTGCGATTGTACTTTGGCCTGATAACGACACACGATCTTTGCACGAAGTAGATCATACCACTTAACTATAATTTTAAAAGAATATCTGTAAAAAGTATGTAATAGCATCGCGTGACAAGACGATAATGAGCGGCGATGCTGGCTGGAAAGCAACGTCGAGATCTTTTCTCGAGAAGCGTTTCAGTATAGCTAGTCCGTTCCTTGGAAAGGTATCATCGAAATTGCAGACGCAACGTTTATTATATGCGAATGCAAAAGGTTAATTGCACGCATCGAATAATCACGAGACATAGCGAGTAAGTTCCGAAGAAACAAGTTTCGATTCTCACGCGATAACGAGACTACTTATGTGTTTTACTTTCAGAAGCATGTCGATATATTTACGATAATAGCAAAAGATAGCGGACGGAAGAATTTTTTTTATACAATGTAATCTTATTAAACAGATATTGAAATAAAGATTCGGATAAGAATATTTTTTGAAGCAAATAATAGATTAAACATAAATTTTCTCTTGGAATTTGTCCAGAAAATGATAATAATCGTGAGACAATATGGTAATAGAATTTTATAAGAGTTTCTCTGATTAATATTTACTACACTGAAAAAAATGTATTAAATTCGAATAAACATTTATTTCAATACTGCCTAATAAATTATTCATTTGAAACTATTAATATTGATTTGATGTGACAAATATTTATGTATTTGATATTAGAAAATTCTTTTTTCAAAACAGATAAATATTTATTTGTTTCAAATAAATGATCGCGATTAGGCAGTATTGAAATAAATATTTATTAATCTAATAATTGTTTTCAGTGTTCAATAAAAATATTAATATCTCCCACAATAAGATATAAAATATGTTCGATAAATTTTACTATGTATACATATTAATAAGAGTAGGCAAGCTAACTGGATTTTCAGGATAATTAAATTCTAAGAGAAAAAAATTCTTTCGGTGTAAATAGAATTGTTGAAAAATAATAATACGCGACATACATAAGATTACATTAAGCAGAATTGAAAGGAACGAATTTTGATTAATCTGGAGTCGATTTTTCTTATTCAAATAATGTCACATAAATTCAGCTTAATCGACTGTATAATCGATAATCTCAAATTCCCTTCTAGGATTCGAGAAACGCTGATCTACGCAGAATATTTGAAAGATCGAGATAAACTCACCGAGCATCTTGATACCCTGGACTGGACTAAGAGGATAGAAGTCCCCGTGAAGCGGGCAGTGGAAGCCCACCCTACGCTCTCTTCGCCTGGCGCGTCTTGTCAGCATGCAGAGCAGCACGCCGAGGGCGAGCATAAGGGCGCCCACAACGATGCAAATCGGCCCCAAGATACGAGAATTGCCAGTAAAGGCGATTCGCGCGGCGTACGAATTTTTGTCCTCGTCTTCCCCGGGACCGCGATAAGACGCAGCTGCAACAAACAAGCGATTCGAAATTAATTCACCTTCAAAATGGATTAAATATCATTAATTGAATACAAATAACCAATTAATTATATTATGCAATTATCATGTATAAAATCACTCTTTTATTTTTTTTATTTTCTTATATCTTTCGAGCAGTTATTTTTCGACTAGACTTATTTTTAGCAGATAAATTCTCGCATAAAAGTACATTAACAGCTGCAACAAGCAAGGGATTCGAAATTAATTCACCGTAAAAATTAATTAAATAATTAATTAAATATAAATAATTAAATAATTGATTAAATAATTAATTACGCAATTATCATGTATAAAAGTACTCTTTTATTATATTTTTTCTTTTCTAATATCTTTCGAGCAGTTATTATTTCTCGATTAGAGCTATATTTTAAGCAGAAACGAGATAAATTCTCGCATAAAAGTACATTAATTTTATTAACACTTCACAATAGAAAATAATCTGCTTTTGTTCCTTCACTATTAAATGCGCTCTTAAGAGATGATAGTCCTTAATAACGAAAATTATTAAACGATCTAGGTTATTCAAGCACAATCTCAGCCGCATTGTGCTCAACTTTTGCGGAAGTAAAGCTCAGAGCTTGGCGGATAAGGCTTTATGTTCTCTTTGCGTGTTTCACGTACAATGCCGCAAAATCGTTTCGTACTCCGTAAAGCTCGGTAATCACGTTGGTCCAACGTTGGGGTTCGAATAAAACTCGCATTACTATGCGCATCGACTATGCAAATGCGTTAACTTTTCTAGCAAAAAGTTTGATGTCTCCGAGGGAGATTCTTCGGGAATGTAATGACACTCTCGTCTTATCTTCCGCCGATCGCGAAGTGAGAATAATATCGCGGAATATTTCAAGAGAAAATGTTCGTCTGTATATAAACGAACGGCGGAAATTATGAACATAAATACGTTGTCGTAAAGAGTTCGCCTTCGAGCATAATTCAATCGATAACGTCAGCGAAACGCTTCATAAACGATCGGCAGATTCGATAGATTTCTCCCAGTCTTCTTTTTTAGGCGTAAGATAAGGTAAATTACTACAATAATGTGAGTAAAATAAACAAAGTAATAAATAAAATGACACATTTATGTATAGAATTCTCCATTTACACAAATATCATAATTCTTTTTTTTGTACATTATTTTATTACATATATATATTATCGTCTAAGTTGACAAGGGATTTAGTAAGAAAGAAAATCGCTGTAACAAAATTGCATATTTCGAAAGCATAGTGAACATGTGTGATATATGAAATAATATAAGAAACAATTTATAAAAAGTTATGTATTTGAAGAGAGAACGCGGACGTGAATAAATATGTGTATTACGTCCGCAAAAGATCGATTTATCCCGTAATCAAAAATAAAACCCACCCCGTTCCACTTGACTCTATCAAAGGAGGAGGCTCGCGCACGATAAACGTAACAAAGACATTAACGCAGCATGAGTAAGCGATGAAGATAGAGGGACATCTAGAGTGTTCGAGAGGAAAGGAGACACGCTTAGAGAAACAACGAAAGGGAAATGGGCTACAGGACCGGTCTTGACACGATGATGGCAGGGAAAAAAACGCGGACAAGACAAGAAGGGAGGACGGACCGGTTTTGATAAATCGGTTGGTAACAACACTTGGCATATCCCGTATATATATGTGAAGAAGTGACGGTGCGCGCGCTGTGAGAAGCCAGCTGTTGCTCGGCGAACAGTCCGAGCCTTCTTGCTCTTTTTCTTCCACTTCTTTATTTTTTTTCCGCGATACGAAAGCTATATCTATGGTGCTATCCCCGAGGTCAGCGTCCCCGACATACACGGACTGTAGCGCCTAATAAATTAATTCAAGGAGAAAGAACGCGGTCTTTCGCCTTCGAAGAAGCCTTAAAAGTCTTCCGCGTAATAATACATTAACATTTATTAATATCGGATTAATGGAAATTCGCTTTTCAAATTTCACGAGGTTTGGAATCAACTCGACTGACTTGCGGATTTTTTAATATTGCTTTCTTGGATATTAATAAAATTAATATATAAAAAATTATATATTTTTTATTCGAGAAAGAGAGATTTTCGAGGTATTTTTCTCTTTTGGATTTCTTCATGAAAAAATTATTAATATTTTTAAAAGCATAAAAGAGCACAGCAAACTTTTTATATAACTGTGACGTAATTTATTATAGAACACAATCAAGTCATTTGTAATTTAAATGTGTCACACGATATACTCGCAGAATTCTAAGAACTTCGCATTGCTCTACTACTACTTCGACTTGTTAAATGGCTTCCTTTTCTATTAATCCGCTTATAGTATGTAAGCAAAGGCTTCAATCATTAGTATGTAACAACAAGAATATTGGCTTGCAAGAATTAGATCTCTTCGTTATGTCTGTGCTATCAATATCATGCGTAATCACGTAAGCTGTCGTTCAAAACATTCATTGCTTTTCATATAAGTTCAGATTTACACTATCCTATCATTATCATAAACATGTATATAAAAGATTTTTAGAGACTGAAAAATTGTGAAATGTTTAAAATATTTTTCGAATTATTTAATTTTAAAAACTAAAATACTTTGATATAAGTTTGATCAGTAAAAAACTTTGTTTCTTTCGTATAATAATAGATATTTATTAATTTTCTTCCGACAAAAAATATAATTCCTATATTATTATTATTATTATTATTATTATATAATATTAAAAAATTAAAAATTCAGTAGTTCTCTAATGTTTAAATAATATTTACGAAAAATCGGTATCGAGTTTGTCCGCGCATATTTCATTAATATATATATATATATATATATATATATATATATATATATATATGAAAAACTGGCATTTCATGTATGTATAGCGGATATTGCTGAATCAAGTAATAACAAGTCTAGAGTGTATCGCTGAACAAAATAGGACGCACTTTCTCGTTAATCATCGTGATATTTCATTCCGAAATAAATACCGATTCTCCTTTTCAAACGCGACCCACATACGATTATGTAGCCTATGCTTTCTCCGAAATGGAAAGCTTGAGATTATGTTCGCAACTAATCACGCCATAATGTATTTCTATATTGCGATTCTCGGCCAAGAGATGAAGAAGTTCAAAAATGATATTTATAAGTACACACTTTCGTGCGACCGACATTGTGAAAAATGACATACTTTTAGAATCATAAATATAATAGAATAATTTAAAATGAGAGATATTTCAGAATTTTTTGTCTATAATATCCATTTCGAGAAAATCGGAGCTAATGATTAACAATTTTCCTTGTTAGTCGATGAATCGATAGAAATTACGCTTTCGCGAATTTTGCGTTTGAGAAATGCAAATGCGGATGCAAATAACGCATTATGAGATTATGATGCGGAAAAAAGGAAAAAAACAAGCATTATGAGAATATTCACGAAACCGAACATTCATGAGACTCATTCGACTAATAATGTCACTATTGTCCGACACACTGCAGGTATACTTTTGCAAAATCATAAATTACGCGAGCTCATTTGTAATTGTAAAAATGGAATTATGCGCGATTAAAAGCCCCGCGGTGCAAAACCTTGCAAAAATATTCGTCAAAAAATACAAGTATATTTGTCGTTTATTTAACATGTGTGCAGCATTCTCTGATGAATTTATATTTCCACCGCTTTTGTAAATGTCAGTTTAATGTTATATTTTATTTTTTCGGCAACATTTTCATGCCGGATGTGCGACTAGAATGTGGGTCTGCAATTTTAGAGGAAACACATGACACGCGGGTTCTTATAGAAACTTGCAACGTGTGTTTCATAAAAAAATATAACGATATCAATAGGAACGTTGTTTGGTTGACACAAAGTGCACATTAAAAGATATAAGATTTCTAAAACCGCCTTCTCTTTATACTACCAGCTCACGCCAGTATCGCGATAAATTCATTCTTTTTATCCGCGCTTTCTGCGCATATAAAAATTTGCACGTTTACGTAACTAAAATATACTCGTGTAAAAAAAGTGACTTTAAATGATATAAACCGGAAATACGAACCAGTGAGTACGGCGCCGACGAGCATGAAGAGGGTACCGAACGCCGGAAGTGCGATCTGACAGTTCGCCGCTATTACCACGCCGGCGACCATCAGACCGCCCTCGATCTTTTCCACCCTCAACCGCGATATGGGAGTCGGGCATTTCAGTTTTACGCCCAGACCACCACCCAGCATCCCCTCTTCGGCCGCCATGCTGCCGGTCCTGCAACAATAAGCATGACTAATTATAGTAGCTGTATATATAATAAAGACTGCCGGGAAAAATTCCGCGGATGAGTGATCACCCATCGAATAAGGTAACGCTCTTTTTATTTTGTGTAAAAAATTTATGTAAAAAAAGTAAAAAAAAAGAATCGGGCTCAGCCGGGATTTGAACCCGGGACCTCTCGCACCCAAAGCGAGAATCATACCCCTAGACCACTGAGCCACTTGTTAATCTCTCACCGATATGCTCTTAAGAATGGACTGCCATTATGCATTTTAATTAATAATAACACGCGTAAATATGCAAATAATTGAAAAAGTCTGAAAATAAAAATATGTTGAGAAAATAAAAAAATATAGCTTTAGAATTTTAGTTATTAAAATTTAAAAGAAGAAACGTGATGGAAATATCTACAAAGAATATGTGCATTCGTTTAAATTAATAATTTGCTGTACGCAATTTATAATATATTAATATTTTTATAGCTCTTCATTACAGATTTTTATAATGTAATAAATAGCATGTACATATAAAATTCATAAGAGAATTATATGAAATGTTCAGTAAACATTAAATTTATGTATGTTACGCTTTAAACGTGACTTTATATTAAAACAATAAATGTCATAAATAAAACTTGCGTTACTCTTTTTCCGATCTTTTCCCAGCTTCTCATTATTTTTTATTTTTTTTTCAATCAAGCTTAGATATCTCTAGATTCACGCTTCGACAAATTCCATAAAGAGAAAGATCTTCCTCACAGACGCGTTCGACCTTTCCAACTGTGATGATCGATCAGAGCGTAAAATCGTATGAAGGTTCATTCTCAGTAAATTGTAACGATAGAATAATTGAATCAATCAGCTGCACATCGTGCACAGCAACTAATTTGACGTGGAAGCTGAGACTCAAGACGCACCGGGAGTGCAGTATAATTAAGGTGAATATTCCTTGCGGCTTACCGAACTGACAAATATTGCAGGTGCATTCGAGTATTCAGGTGCATATTATGCAAAATCTTGATTACGGAATTAATAATTCTGTTAACATATATCCTTGATTAAGCAAAATAACCTTTCTAAATTTTTTGGAGTGGAATGCCACTCTAAAAGAGTAGAATCTCATTCCAAAAGAATGGAATTTCACTTCAAAAGAGTGGAATCCCACTCCAAGAAATTTAGAAAGATAGTGATAGCAATACTCACTAGCGAAAAACAATTTCGTTTTACATTTAAAATTTTATTTTTCATTTAAAATTTAGTATAACAGAAAAAAGCAGGTAAACCACGAGTCTGCAAAAGATTATTCAAACGTCACGAGACAAAATATGAGAGAAAATAATTTTTTAGAATATCGCGCAAAAGCGTGATATTCATGATTGATTAAATAACAACGCAAGATTGTTTTTATTAATACGAAATGACGACGTACATATATAAACATCTAATTGTATTGTCAATCTATGACTGTTAATACGGAAGATTCTGTGCTTAGAGCTCGTAATTTTCTTACAAAATTAAACTTCTTAACAATAATAGACGCTTATAATCACACACTATTTGCAAGAATAGATAACGCGAAACTTTGACATCTGCGATAAAATAAACGAAAGCGAAATAATGATGAGATGCAATGTGTTCAATATAATTTCCCATTCATCTTTTTTCATATTTATATGAGTGTTTTCTCCGAACATAGTTTTCTCCGCAACTAAGTTCCCGCTGTTTGTCTATAGATGGCTCCAGCAGTAAGTGCTGGTCGATTTTGACATATCCAAAACGTCACGAGCCAAGCTTAGACATATGGTAAACAAACCGCTTTGACATGTTAATGATTTTGTTTTGGCGTCATATACTTTTAGTTGTGTGAAAATGTCTGATTTTGTACCAAATAATCGTCATTTGCGGGAAGTGTTGATTTTCTTATTTCATTCGAAGAAAACGGCGGCTGAAGCGCATCGAGAGCTCCAAAAAGTTTACGGAGATGCTGCTCTAAGTGAAACAACGTGCCGTGATTGGTTCCGTCGCTTCAAAGACGGTGATTTCGATGTTGACGACCGTCCGCGTGAAGGAAGGCCAAAAACCTTCGAAGACGCTGAATTGGAGGCATTGCTCGATGAGGATCCATGCCAAACGCAAGAACAGCTTGCTTCAGCATTAGGAGTTACCCGCCAAGCCATTTCCAAGCGATTGCATGCGTTGGGAATGAGCAGAGGCACGAAAAAGTGATTCTACTGCATGACAACGCTCGGCCTCATGTTGCCAAACCCGTTAAAACTTACGTGGAAACGCTCAAATGGGAAGTCCTACCCTACCCGCCATATTCCCCAGATATTGCGCCGTCCGATTATTACTTGTTCCGTTCGATGGCACATGGTCTGGCTGATCAGCAGTTCCGCTCATATGAAGACATCAAAAAATGGCTTGATTCGTGGATAGCCTCAAAAGACGAATACTTTTACCGTAACGGTATTCGAGCTCTGCCAGAAAGATGGGAAAAAGTTGTGGCTAACGATGGGCAATACTTTGAATGATTCATTTGTAACCATTTTTTCACAATAAAGTTGCATTTTCATAAAAAAAACAGCGAGAACTTAGTTGCGCACCTAATATTATTTGTTTTCGTGTTATATTTTTAATTAAATGTTTCATTCTTAAATAAAATCTTCTCCAAATATTTTAATTTTTATTTGCACGACCTTTCGATACAGAAACACAATGGACTTAAGTCCAATAATTATAATTCAAGTCGTTTCTCTTTCGAGAAGCCAACAAAGGAGATTATTTATTCAGACGAAAATACTGAATTGCCTACCTTACAATAAATGTATTCACTTGTAATTAGATCTTTAAAAGACAGCTATATATGTTTGTTACGTAAAACTGTTTCGACAATCTCTGGGTATGAATGCCAACTCTGCGATAAGTCGACAAATTTCGAACGCGCAAACTCGTATCAATTTTCGTGCGATTATTTCACTTCACGCTTCGACCGTCAGAAAATCACTGGCCTCTTCGGCGATTTTGACGGAATTTTATTCTTTAATCCCGCGATAACAAGAAGCTGACGAGACGGCAAATTTATCATTTTTATTCTTGATACACGCCAGAATATGCAAACTACGTCATGGATCATAAATCAGGCGTCAAGCGTAAATTGCCTGCATGTAGTTACGTTCCTAAATTTACATTGTAACTAGATGCGCGACAAACGGTGATTGCCATAAAAAATACAGTAAAAATTGTTTATTTATGTAGTTTTGTGTTTCGCGTCATTATTTATTGTGGTAACAAAAACCCGGACGAATCGAATTGAATACATAACGTCCGGAACAGAATCAAACAAAAAAACTTCAATTTAGGAAACTGTTTACATATTATTTTAATGGCACGTGTGTTTTGAAAAAAACCGAGTACTCTCGAAATTAAAAATTTTCGTGAAAATTTTGACTAACACGACCAGAGAGCGAAACAATTTTCCTGAAAAACGAAGAAGTTTACCATATGTATCTCATTCTGTGCATCCACTTTGCGAGAAACCGAGTAACATCGCAGCTTCTATGCTGATAACATTCGTACTTCGGTCGATCAAAGTTTGCGAGAATTACACACTACATTCTTTCTATGTAGAATTCAAGTTTCATCTTCCGACAGTTGCAGATTTCTACGTCTCTTTAATATTAATAAACATGAATTCTACTGATGATAGATGCATTTTGTTGCGTCAAAAGAAAGAAATAATATTGTAAATACTTTTTTTTAGATTCTAAATAATAGGTATATTAAAATTTTTCCCGCTATTATGATAATATTAAGATGACTATTTTATATTATAATTTTTTTATCTTATAAATCAAATTTTTTTATCTTATAAATCTTTTTATAAGTATTTACGATATTACGGAAAAAATTATTTCAAGAAGAAATTGATTGAGAGTTTGAATTTAATATGCATATACTTTCAGATGTCATTTAAAGAGACGGCTGGTTATTCACCTACTTTTTTATAGAAGCTCGTGTACGCAATTCTAGATTCTAAATAATATGTAGGGACATTAAAATTTTTTTCCGCTATTACGATAATATTAAGATGATTATTATCTTATGTTATAACTTTTTATAAATTTTTACAATATTTCGAAAAAAATTTGAAGAAGAAATTGATTGAAATTCGAGTTTGAATTTAATGCGCATATACTTTCAAATGTCATTTGAAGAGAAACGGCTGGTTATTCACCTACTATTTTATAGAAGCTCGTGTACGCAATTCTAGATTCTAAATAATATGTAGGGACATTAAAATTTTTTTCCGCTATTACGATAATATTAAGATGATTATTATCTTATTTTATAACTTTTTATAAATTTTTACGATATTTCGAAAAAAATTTGAAGAAGAAATTGATTGAAATTCGAGTTTGAATTTAATGTGCATATACTTTCAAATGTCATTTGAAGAGAAACGGCTGGTTATTCACCTACTTTTTTTATAGAAGCTCGAGTACGCAATGCACGTACGCAACCATTACAAGGGTTTACTGAACGACATAGAAGACATGTAGCGATCAGCGTGACCCTATTCCAAAGATGTCGACGAGATAACCCGTGTAACCAGGCGATTCTTGACTTGCCTCGCCCTCTGCCCCATTTACCCGGATGTTTCAGGTCATCGGGGTCGGAGGGGAAAAATAACGAAGGAAGGGGTAACAATTGAAGCAACAAGAACGAGTGCTACTTACTCTCGCTTCACCGGCTATAAATAAGCGTCCACCATGTTAACTTTGTGCCTCGAAAGAGACAAAATTGAAAAATCGACCCTTCAAGGGTCATAAATTATGGTTACTTTGCGAGCAACAACAAAATATGAACTAATCATTAATATTATATTAATTATTCTGAGAGTAATAATATTGAAATACGAATGTTTATGAAAACAGTTTTAATGTGTAAAAGAAAAGATTGATTCTATAAAAATAATGTTACAAAATATATATCTCG